TATCTAGTATCTAGTATCTAGTATCTAGTATCTAGTATCTAGTATCTAGTATCTAGTATGTAGTATCTAGTATCTACAGTTTTACGATCTTTAATCTCATAATAATAATAATAAGTTAATATCAACAATAACTACTTACACAAGTATTTTCCGCTTTTTCGTTTGGGCCACAGTTAAATGACCTCAAAAAGAAGTACCTAGAGCAGCAATTTATGTGTGCCGCTGCTGGGTATCTGCAAATGGCATGACAACAAGTTGAATGCACTCATAATAAACCCCATCGGCAATTGAGTGCTAGAGTTGAATAAACTTCAATTGTGGGAGACCAACTAGCTAGCAGATAAGCAGCTAATGAGATATCCTTAACTCGCTGGCAATCGAGTTGAATGCACTCATTTACACAGTCAACCAATTATAGCAGCCCCAAAGATCCGGCGAAAATGGCGAAAAGGCATTCATATTTTACCACGAACCGAACGCCAGACTCAATAAAATCAAACAATTAGAAAATCAGGAAAGACAGAGACAGAGACAAAGGCAACGTCGGCCAGGCCTCGAGCCACTTTACTGGAATGCCACTTTGGATGTACGAGAGGAGCACTGTTTATTGCCTAACATAGTTAACAACAAGGACAACAAATGTAGTAACTTACTAAAGTTAGCTAGTTTATGTACAAAATGCGAGTCCGTTTGAAGAGTCTGAACTCTAAGCCCTGGACGATATTTCAGCTATTGCTGCGACTGCAATTCAAAGGCTTTGTGGCAAAGCCAGCGCAGTTGCAGCAACAGCAACTCTAAGTGTATGTGTGTGTGTGTGCTTGAGAGTGTATACTGGTCTGTGTATGTGTTAGTGTCTAGTGTGTCTTGTGTATGTGTGTGTGGGTTTGTGTGTGTGTGAGTGTGCTTATGCTCTTTTGTGCCTACCAACAGCCCTGCATATGGTTCAGCTGCTGTATGGCTCCGCATCCGATGCGATTTTGCATATAATCCGGAAAATTGCTCTGCAGCACCCGCATCGTATTCCGTTTGTAATCGGGCACCGCATGAGTCACCAGCTGGCAGGTTTGGCTGCGATAAACGGGTTTGAAGTTGGCCTCTGCAAACGTGGAGTTGGTGTCCCAGCGATAGACCTCTGCATCGCCCTCGTTGCGGAAGAATATGGCCGAGCCGTTGTCCGTGCCAATAATGACCATGCGACTCGGCTTTTTGCCCAGATCTGCAATGTTGGCTAGTTAAAAACTGCTTGCGGTGCAGTTTGGCTGGAATAACTCACCCAAAATGCGTCCGTCGGCCACACCGCTGCGCAAATACTCGGATTTCAGGGAGAACAGCTTGGCCGTACTCAGATAGGTGAAGTAGAGCTCGGTGGAGCCGCAGTCGCGACGTATCAGCGCTATGTAGAGCACATCGCGGGAGCGACAGCCGGCGGACACTGCCTTGGGCAGCACCACACGGAAGCCGCGATCCGCCTGCAGATTATAGACGATTATCGCACGGTTGGCCGCATCGCTGACGTAGATAAAGCAGCCGCCGTCGGGCGCATAGTCCACCACCAGATACTGCAGACGGGAGCTGCTCGAGGTGAGCCCCTCCAGCGAGACAGTTTTCAGCACTTTGCCCGTCTTCACGGACATGGCCACCACCTTGGGCGCGCACTTGCGCACCGGCGTCTCCAGGGTGTTGACTATGCCCGTGTCCAGCACCCAGAGCACCTCGTTCTGATCGACAACCAGGTCGACCACAGACTGCAGAGCCTTGCAGTTGCCCTCCTCCTGCAGGTCCCAGCAGGGATACGGCTTGAACGTGGTCGAGCAGGTGCCCGGCTGGACATTCGTCTTCACCAGCGTCGCAGGCACGCCCTTGCGATAGCGCGGCAGCGCCAAATAGATGGTATCGCCAATCAGCTGGGCCCGCGTCGCAATCACATTCTTGGCTATGTACTTGCCGGAGCTCTTGAACAGCGACTTGGTGCTGGCACAGGGGAACTCGAACTGTCCGCCCGTCCACTGTATGGGCTGTGTGTCGGCGTGCGCCCGATCCGGTGTCCACAGACCGTACTTGGTCTGCTGACCAACGGCGCCGTCGGCTGCCAAACAAATAGCCAGGAGCAGCCCCAGCCAGTGGGCTAGATAGGAACGCATCTTTAAACGTACGGGCTTCTGCAGCTGACAATTTATTGAACTGACTGAACTCTCAAGCTTACACAAAGTCGTGTTTTATATAAGCCATCGAAGTAACCAGAAATGCGCGACGTGCTGCAAGCCAATTTCTCAGATTGCAAACAACTTTTTGGTGGAAGAACCTTGAAGGCCTGACACCCAGACACAGAACAAAAAAACAAAAACTATTCAAAGCGCTGCAGCAGTTGCTGCTGCGTGCGTGTGTGTGTGTGTGTGCGTGTCGCACAGTTGGCAGCCAATTGCATTAAAAATAATTGAAATACTTCACGCGCAGAAGCCACAGCACAGCAAAAGCAGACAAAAGTATCTGCAAGAGATGGCATGCAGTTCACGCCGGGTTGAATGAATTGATTCTTTCTATGAATCACACACACACACAGACACACACCCACACTGACAGACAGAAGCCAACCAAGTGCGTCCTGATTGCCTGCCCACGCTGTAGGATAATTTTAGTTAATTTTCTAGATATTATTTGGCTTGGCAAATCACTTAAGTTGCGCCCGGCATGATAACTAATGCATGTATAATTTAAATTGCTGCGATAACTCAATCAACGCTCGGCTCAGTGAGTGGCAGCAAATATTATTAATAGAGTTAACTTATCATGTGATTGCCTTAACTACAGCAAATCTTTTAGCACACGACGACGCAGCTGCTCGATTTAACACACCAAAATAAATGGGAAAGAAGAAGAAGAAGACTAGATGTGGTTGGGGCAATAGCTTTCAGGCAGCACGACAGACAGACAACGCCCGAAGTGTTTGCAACAACGCGACATGTTTGGCATGCCAAAATGTCAGGAAATGCCCGCATATGTGTTTCCCAGCAAATCCTTCCCCCTATGCCAGCGTGATTTATCTCCCCGCTTTTCCACATAGACACAGAGAGATTCACACCAACACATTCCACCACTTTGAGCAGTATGGGCAAAAAATATTGATGACAAGCACTTCCGGGCCATCCTGCTGTCGTGCCGTACATAATTTATGCAAACATTAGCTTACAGCCCGGAGAGATAAGCGACAACAACTGCGACCGAGGCCGAGAACTGAGAGCTGACCGTGAGTGAGCGAGCCCAACTCTCGATTAGACACGGCAAGAATCTCAGCTCCGGGCTATTTGCGCTCCGCTTATTTGAACAGTTTTTATTGCCAGCCTAACGAGGCGTATACGTCATGTGCAGAGCCACTAGGCCAACGGCAGGTCGGCCGACGACAATCAGCCCTCACACTCCACAATTGTGTCCCATTTGATGTTTGTTTAAATAACTTCAATACAAACGCAACAAACGGCCAATTGAATACGCAAATAGCCCTAAATGTAATTTGATTTTTGTCTAACAATTTTGTTCCTGAGTCACTTTTTGTTTTTCGGATGGGCGCGAGCGAAAACAAAACGTATAAAAAGTCAAACAAATATTGACTGTGGTCACGTTTGGCTTTGCTGCTCTGCTAAATGGGTCGTGAAACTAGCTGGACTCAGCAAATTTCGCTTACATTTTTTGCTTTTTCTGTTCCAAAATTTCACATAAATTATAATAACATTTCGACTTGCTGGCAACTGATTTCATGATTGTATTAATGCTGCTTTAGCTAGGGTATAAATCTGGATGTGAGTATGGATGTGGAAGGGCATGGAGGCTATAAGATAAAAAATAGATATGTATTTAATGTAAGATGAATGACAAACTGCGTGCTTAAGAAAACATTATGACTCTCGTATAAACATATAGGGAGGAGCAATAGGAAAAAATATTATACCAGAATGTATATAGTTAATTCATTCACTAAAAATTATATACAGTCTAAATACGAAATATAATAAAATTAATAAATTGAATATTGAATTCAATTATAATTTAAAATTAACATTATATTCAAGGAATTGTCTAAATAAAATGAAAATAATATTAATAAAAAATTAATTAATTTCACAATATTTAACAGGTATAATAAAATATTATATTATTTTATGAACTTAAATACTATAAAAAATCCAAAAACAATTTTTTTTAAATAAGTATTAAATAAAATATATAAAATTATATTAATCAGATTAAAATATAATTTTTTTAATTTTAATATATTAATATTATCTAAAATTAAAATACAATTACATTTAAAAATGTATTTAATAAAAAAATAATACTACAATAAATTTAGTAATTGAAGGCTAAACAAATATAAAATATATATTATATTATATAAGACAAATGTCAGCGTACCAAAATTTCTGTCTCACTTACAAAAAAATATAAGAAAAAGACTTAGTTTTTGCTCACAATTTATTGCCTTTTATCTAGGGTATTCAAGCAGTTTGTTTCACAATGTTATAAACATTTTGAGTGTAATTTATGTGCCGTGCTTTCATGTTTGCTTTTGCTTTGGCTTTCGCTTTCGCTTTAGACTTCGATTTCTGTTCTGTTGCTGGCTTTATTCGAGCGGCAAAGTTGCTTTTGTGTTAACGTTTGCTTAAAGTTTTCATATATTTATCAAGCAAGCACAAACTCAATTTGTTGCCATCAATTAAGCATTTATAGAATGATTTTAATTGATTTTGCTTTACTTAAATATTGCACAATTCAAGAAATTTTCTGGTTTTGTTTTGTTGACTTGTCTGGAATTTTATATATATTTCTTTTTTGGCAAGCAAAACCCACAACACATTTGTTCTCACATTTATATATGAAATATTTTTATTTTTTGCCGTATTCATGTTTCGACGGCAGATCATATTTATATGACTTGCATTTTACAGTGCCAGAATCTGTGTTTAATTTTATTGATTTTATTTATGAAAGCGCATAAATATTTATCTGCGACTCGTGCGGCCCGAGCGATGATGGCACACAGACAAGCTGAGCGAACGAACGCCCCCACACGCCGACCTTTCGCTACAGCTGTGTATTATAGATAAATATAGCTTCAGATTACCATCAAAATATGGCAACTTATGACAGTTTGTTAAAATGAATTTCACACAAATTCAATCTGCATGTCATTTCGCATTGTGAAGGCCAAAGACCGCAATCCGCAATCCGCAATACCCATAAAAAGGGTCAGCTTACCCTTTAAACAGCTCAAATTCAGCCGGCATTTTAAAGTAACAGACTCTTGACCATAATTCACAGAGCTGGCTGGGTCTCTAAACAAAGGCCAGCACATTATGATAGAGGGAGAGAGAGAGAGAGATAAGCAGGCGGCGCAGCTTATGGTTGCTCAAGAGTTGTTTATGACCCAAAGTGCCTTAAAATAAAAAAATGTAATTTTCAGGGGGCACCCGGATTTGAACCGGGGACCTCTCGATCTGCAGTCGAATGCTCTACCCCTGAGCTATACCCCCATTTGAAAAAAACGAGATTCGAAGCTATTGTTATTAGCAAATTCAAAGATAAATTTTCTATTGCAATAGCAGCTCAAACACTGTTTGCTTATCAAACAGCAAAGTTATCAGCTTGTGTTTTTTGTTTTTTAATTTGAAGAGAAATGCTTTAACAATGTTAGTTATCTCGAAATTCAACAAACTCAACAGCGTGTTCTCGAGCTCACTCGAACCGAGCTTGTTTTCCAGCAAGAGACACAAAACAAACAAAAAGCAAACGTAAACGAAGAAAGAGTTCGATATGAAGAGCAGAGTTTTGGGCAAGTTTCTCAGCATTTTTTGAGGTCAGTAGAGGCGGTAGCCTTTGGCCTGAGCTGTGCTGGGTTTGTTTATGGAATTCCACGTTGTCTCTGAAATAGAATCAGCAGGGCAACAATTAATATTTGCTTCGCTGCAGATTGCACACGCGCTGTCAAACGTTTCTCGCTTCCGCAAAACGATTTTTGATGGCTAAGGGCGGCGGGTGATGGCTGCTGGCGGGGTGTGGGGGCGGTGCTAACATGGCAGCTCACTGCTTCCGTTGTGTCGCACAAAATGGCGAGAGACAGACGTGATGGCTGGCCAGTGCTGCTGCTGTATAAATATGTATGTGTGTAGGTGTGAGTGTGTACGTGTGAGTGTGCGTTAGCTGGTCAGACACATGTTTCCTCATGTCGAGCAGACGACCTTGCACCAGGGCAGACGCGTCTAAAACACACGCGCCAACTGTCACAATTGAAGCAGCAGCTCTCATATATAAATATAAATGCGCCAAGCGCCGCAATAATTTTCTATATTATCAAAAGCAGACGCTGACCAAACACAGTTGCAGTTGCACGGTGAGCAAAGGAAAAGAGTTCATTTAATATAGGCGAAAAAAAATGGCTGTGAAGCTGCCGTTGCTGCTGCTCCTCTCGCTGATAGCCGTCAGCTGTGGCGCCTACAGCTCCTCGCTGGATGAGCCGGCCAGCAGCTCGAGCGGCAATTCGATTGGCATCAGCAAGTGCAATAAGAATCCGCTGACCGAGCTCACCTTCCAGCTGAGCGGCAGCAATCTGCACTGGCCCTGCGACTCCACCAAGAACATCTACGTGCAATCGGGTCGCTATGTGCCCCGCAACGTGATTGTGACGCGTGCGCAGCTGCAGCGCGACTCGGCGTTTGTGGCACTGCCGCGCTACAAGCAGGGCGTGCCCTTCACACTGGGCAAGGTGAATCTGAAGAAGGGCGAGTGCTTGGCCAAAATAGCGCCGTATCCCTGCTGGGCCATACAGGAGGAGGGCAACTGCCAGGCGCTGCAATCCGTTGTGGACGTGGCCGTGGATCAAAATGTGAGTGGACTTTTGAATTTGACACGCCCTGCCGTTGAAATGGGCACGCATGCATACCTGTACAAACATAACAACACACACACACACACACACACACTTATACACACACGCACGTACACACTTGCATATGCATTAACAAGCCAATTTAGCTGGAAAAAGCAATTTGTTGCCTTTGCATCGAAAAACTTACTATGCAGCACTTGTTTTTGCTTTTGTTGATGCAGCTTCCAGTTGTAAATATATTTGCTGTACATATATATGTATATATACTCTATACGAATATTCATTATTCAGCTGCAATGGCTTTTTTAACCAAATAAATGCTGTGCCCAGGCGCTGTAAAATTCCACAGTCAACAGCAAAAATGACTGAAACCGTAGCTGAAGGCTTAACCATTCCAATGAACTTCAGAGAACAAGCTGATACTTGAAACAACTTCAATGTGATTGCAATTTCAATTAAGAACATTCGCCACATTTCTTATCGAAATGTGAGTTTTATACTTCATATATAGCTTCATAAGGTCTTAATTAACTGAAATGAAAAGAGAATATAGAATTTATTGTTTCAATACATTTTAGATCCCGAATTTATTTAGTTTTTAAATTTTGCAATATTTCCATGTTCATCTCCTAGCCTTGATCTCTAATTTGAAATTTACAAAATATTATTTCTGTTCAATTTCAATGCAAACATTTTGCGTTGTATTTCAGCAGAATTCATTGCAACAATAACAACAATAATTTATATATCTATAAATGTAGCTATTCATATGTATATGTATCTATACATTTATATATAGAATGGGCACGCGAATTTGATTATTTGCAGTTCAGCAATTGCAGCAAAATTAAATGATTTTTATTTATTTATTTTTTTATTTGTAATTTTGATTGCTCTTTATTATTTCTGCTGATGCGCATAAAAAACTGAAAATTCTCGACATGCCGCAAACGCAATTGAAAAATATTTTAAATAGCATGAAATAATATATACATTTTGATAGGGTCTGCTGTGGGCCTTGGACGTGGGCATTGTGAACACACTGGAGCAGCCCATACGCCGCTGCAACCCCAAAATCGTGGCCATAAACACGGCCAACAACAAGGTGGTGAAAAGCATTGACCTCAGCGATCTCGTGACCTCCGAGAGCCGTTTGCAGTTCATTGTCGTCGACTACTCCAAGGATAACAAGCCCTTTGTGTGAGTACCCAAGTGAGGTGCCTAGGCTCCATTGAAAATGTACAATCTGATATCTATATCTGCTCTCTCTCTCTCTCTCTCTCTCTCCCTTGCAGCTATGTGGCAGATGCTGGAGCTCGTAGCATTTTGGTCTATGATATTACGGGCAACAAATCGTATCGCATCGTCTTGCCTCGAGCCACAGCTCCGACCAACGATGTGCTCTACGTAGCGCTGACTGCCAAGCCCGACGGCACCTCGACGCTGTTCTTCAGCTATCTGAGCTCCTCGCGCCTCTATTCGATTAAGGGCGAGTACTTGAGGGTGGGTCAGGGCGCTGGCTCCATCATCGATGTGGGCCCGAAACCCTATGGCAAGCAGGCGGTGCTGCTGGGCGCCGATGGCGGCACCTCGCTCTTCTTCCGCTACAAGGGCGAGAACGACATCTATCTGTGGGACTCGGAGACCTGCTTCAAGGCCTCCAACTTGCAGGAGGTGCAGCGCGGCGGCGACTGTCGCCTCTCCACCCAAGTGCTGCCGGGCCACAAGCGTTTCATGTGGGCGCTCGAGAGCAATTTCCATGACTTCATCTCGGATCGCACTGGCTGCAATGGCGCCTCCATTGTGCTGCATCCCGTTGTGCGCGAATGCGACGACTAGTTCGAGTCTCTGTCTCATTTTATTAGCCATATAAGATTTGTTATCTTAATTTAATTTTTTTTTTGTACGAATAAAATGTTTTGTACAGCTCAACAGTTGCCCGCAACGCACGAAAATTTGCCCAAGTCGAAGACCTGACCCGGCCTGCAGCTGCGCAGCTCCATGTCAGCGCCCCTGGCCGGGCAGTGATAGAAGCGATTGCAATTGGTCAAGTCGCCGGCTAAGCCCACGCGCTGACATTTGCCCGAGTTGAGTCCCGTACTGTCCCCTCCAGCTGCGGGTGGCTTTCCGTGGCGGCACATGAGATAATGCGCATCAAAGTAGCTGCCCAGGGGACACGACCCCAGTTGTAGTTTTCCATTCAAGCAGTAGTTGTACATATATACAGAGTCCGCCGGATAAATCATGCCAGTGCGACATTCCTCGGAGCCCCCTTTGGCAGCCAGGGCAAGCAGCAGGAGCAGCAGCAATAACTTGGAATCCATCTCAAAGACTGTTGCTGCCGCGTCGCTCTAGCAGTTGCTTAAATAATATTCGATGAGCAAAGCTGCGGAAATGCTAAGGCGATAGTTGAATGATATTGATAAGATAAGGCCAACTACACGAGTTAACCTAGACATAATTGCTTAATAATCGTCTTTTATTGCTCCAACTGAAGTTGTCAGGCGGGATTACATGGAACCCCTCTATTGCTGCGGCTTGCACACAGCGCTGATGCCATCAAAGATGGAGCCCTCTGGGCACTCGTAGCTCATGAGCTCGCCATTTTTGCATAGGAGATAACCATGCTTAGTTTCCGCAGCATAGAGCTTCGATTCCTCGCAGGTTTTGCGCTCCCTGGCGCACACTCCGAGGCTCAGATCAAAGTAGGAGCCATCTGCACACCATTGGTAGACCAACTGGCCATTGGCACACACATAGAAGCCAGAATTCGTTTCGGCGGGATAATACTGGCCCTCAATACAGGTCTTTGACTCTTTGCGGCAAATGCCAGAGATGGCATCGAAATGGGCACCCTCCTCGCACAGCTCGGCTGGCTCGATCTGCTTGATCTTGTTGTCCGGCACGCAGCTGTGGCCATTGAAACTGTAGCCATCGCTGCACTTCATCATCAGCGGGTAGAAGACATCTTGAGCGCCCACCTTGTCCTTCTGGCAGATGTAGTAGTAGCTGTTGTGGGCAGGCCAGGCGCCCGTCTGGCCCACGTGGCTGCAGCTGTACTGCTTCTCCGAGCAGAGTTCGCTCTCCCGCGGCAGGCTGCAGCTGTTGGTGAGCAGGGAGTAGGCAGCGCCATTGGTGCACTGACGTGGCGTGTCCACGTTCTGTTCGCTGCACTCGTGATAGCTGCGGCAGTCGTACGGATCCGGAAATATGCCCGGCTGCTGGCAGTAGAATTTGCCGCGCACCGGCACTTGGCATTTTGGCTGCCAGGTGCACCCAATGGAGCCCTCATCGCTGCAGAAGAAGCCGCGCTCCGACTGGCAGCTGGTCATGGACACCGTTTGCCACTGGCCATCCACGTTCGAGCAGAAGCCGAGCGTGGCGCAATCGACGCAGACAAAGCCGGCCAGACGTATCTCCTGGCAAGGATTTGTCACCAGCTCGGCGGAGTCAATGGCATGGCCATCGCCCTGGCAGCCCACCAAAGACCCCAGCAGTGGAAGCAACAACTTAACCCAATTCATTTCAAAGACTGTTGACTGAAAAGGCAGCCGGCAGCTGCTTAAATAGTCAGAGATAGGTGCGCGTGGTAAATGTCAAAGGCATAATTAAAAGATAATAGTTAATGATGCTTCATTAGAGCTCAAAAGAGAACAGAGTTTCGAAAAAGCAATTAGATACTATTTAAGATTTAGCAAGAGCCCAGCACACAGGCCGATTGCTCCTTGCGGTAGTAGGTGCCGGCCGGGCACTCCAAGTGGCGCATCGTCCCATTCAGGGCGGAACAGTAGTAGTACTTGTGGCAGTTTTGCGTGTCGGCCATGAGACCGATGTGTGCGCATTTGCCAGGCATTACGCTGAAGCCATCATCGTTGGGATCCACAATTTCGGGCTGGTCCGGGCTGGTCGGGTTGGAGGGGCCGGGCTGGCCCGGGTTTCCTGGACGACAGACGAAATCCGCAAAGATCTCACCGTCGTTGCAGCGATGCAGCGAGGGATAAATGACGACTGAATCATTTAGATTTTGATTCACCGTCGACTTGCACACGTAGAATATGTTGGGATTACTGGGCCAGGCGGCCACATAGCCCACCCTGGGACAGTGGTACTGCGGCTGAGTGCACACCCGGCTCTCCAGCGTCATTGAGCACTGGCCGGTGCGAGCGTCGAATGCTTTGTCATTGCCGCAGTCGACAGCAGCTGCCACCAGAGTGGCACCCACAAAGTAGCACATGTGATACTTCTGGCAGTCGTAGGGATCCGGGAAGATGCCCTGCGAGGTGCACTGGAAGTTGCCCACAATGCCAAACGGATGGCAGGGCCCTGTGGCATTCGAGCACGTGCCCAAGCGCATATTACAATAGTATCCGTTGGCCACATCACACGATTCGACGGGTATATTCACCCAGCCATTCGAGTGCTGTACACAAGTGGCAAGCAGCTCACACGACTCACAAATGGGTCCAGGTGTCTGTCTTCCCTCGCAGCTGCTCGTTTCCCGGGGCTGAAAGATGCGCGTGGTAACCGTGGCAGCGCTCATCAAATTGATGACGTAGAGCACTAGCTTTATCACACAGAGAAAAGGAGAAAGAAATACGTATATTAGAAATACTTCAGCGATTGATTAACATTGTTAACGCTTACCATGCTAAAATATAGCTTATTACAGGACATGTTGTTTGAGTGAATATCGCTGTTAGTTTGAGCACGTCTAATTGCTGCAAAGTACTTAAATTGTCTGATTTGATTGCGTAGCTGGGAACTACAAAAACACTTTGACTCACAGCCCAAATATAGCAGACGCACTAAGGTAAAAGATATCTTCGATTGTGGCACTGGGCGCGAGAGCCCATCTTTATATCAATACGAGTGTTCTACATTTATCTGTGTGTGCGTGTGTGTCTGTGTATCTAATATCTTGCGAAAGTTTCGAGTTGAGCAAAGTAAAAAAAAAAAAAACGTAGCCATTACAACAACGAGCGATTACAAAAAAGAATTGACTAGAATGAAATGCTTTGCTGATGAGTAAATGGCTCATATTGACACAGAAAACATTGTGGGTAAAATCTTTGGTTGGCATTACTTTTGTTTATATGACCTTTACCAGTTTCTCTATGCAAACAGAAAGCACTTAGCTTGTGTTTGCGTTATTTAAATATTAGCGCAGACTGTTTACTTTGATTTGCAACAGTCAGTTAAATTTAAATCAAAAATCGAGCGCGCTAGCAAGTCGATAACAGTCAAAATTATTTCGTAATTATCGACATTGATAAGTTTGTTTGGTATTTTTGTTATCGAAAATAGATAGCATCCTAATAGCATATTCCAGCTGTGCTCTGCACAGGTACACCGACACATTAAATTCGCCTTAAACATTTATAGATATTTTGACCATTTCAATGGATTTCGTACACGAAGCTGTTGCACTTGGCGTTGACATCCTTATCCTGGGCCTCTGTGTGCGCGAATATGTGAACTATAAGAATACCGCGAGAGTGTTGAAGGTAAGGCGAGCAGCTCTTGGTTATAGTGCCTGCATAATCATAACAAAATTCTATATGTACCTGTAGGAGGCACCGCAGTATAATATTGATGGCGAGCTAAAAAATATTGTATCACGGCAGCGGGATAAGAAGATTCCGTATGCTGTTATACGCGGCACTGTCTCCCCAATTGGTGTGCCACTGCGCAGCTCGTTTGTGCCCAGTGTGAGCGGCGTTCTCCAAATTGTAAAGCTACATGAGCATCGGGTGATGCGCGCCTTCGCCGGCTTCTGGGCAGAGCAGCGAAAGATGCTGCACGAGAGCGTCAACGAGATGCCCTTTGAGCTACGCAACCAATCGCATGGCGTTGAAATTGTGGATGCGATGAGTGCCGCTGTGTTGGATGTGGACGTGGTCTACGATAACTATGAGTCCACATCTCTGTCGTTCTTTGATCACATATTTGGCTTCTTTACGGGTGTAAGGCAGAAGGGGCTGCAGACCACCGAACAGGTTCTGCGTGACGGCAGCTTTATGACCGCCATTGGCGAACTGGAATTGGATGGCGAAACTCTGCGCATGCAGCCATCCAAAGAAGGACCACTCTTTCTGACCACGGCCACAAAATCAACGCTCATCAAACGTTTCGAGGATGCCAAATCTTCTATGCTGTAAGCTAACTTAATAGGGCCTTAAATGTTTTCTATCTCATATGTATTCTCTTGCAGCTTTAAAATTGTATTGTGCAGCAGTATATCAATAGTATTGGTGGGTCTGATCGTACGGAAAGTGTACCGTAGAAAGAAGCAAGAACACGAGGAAGCAAAGATTCGCAAGCGCCTCGAGGTGGAGCGTAGAGAGCGCCGAGCACGCAACAGGCCGCATACTCTGAGCCAAGATCAATTGTGCGTTGTTTGCTCCACCAATCCCAAAGAAGTAGGATGACTATATATTATAGTGTATAATCCCCACCACTAATGACTTCTGCTCTTTCGGCTCTTCCAGATCATTTTATTGCCCTGCGGACATGTGTGCCTGTGTGAGGATTGCGCCCAAAAAATCGACATTACTTGTCCAGTTTGCCGCAGCAAAATCGACTCGAAGGCGGCTGCATTTATTGCCTAACGCTGTGGATTCCAGCCAAGTTAGATCAACTGTACCTGTCTTCGTCTCATAAGTGTTTGTTACTTGAGCTCTAATTAGTGTGCAGTTTACATTATTGATAAAAATTCGTTTCAAGTGTTGACCATCGAATAGTAATTGTGTGGAATCCTATGCACTGTCTGGATGCATAATGCTTCTATACTCGTATTGATTCTCCAGTAGCTTCAGAAAGACTTTGTACTTTCGGCCATGCAGCTCCTGTGTTTTCTCATTAGGTTTTATCACACGCCCCATGCCAGACATGGCTTTCGCGGCGGCCTACAAAGAGAAAAGCACAGAAGTGGATTTGATTTCATAGTCGAAATGTAGTTCTGTACACAACACACACCTCCAGGCTATTGTATTGGCCATAGGCAGCGGCAGCTAAGGCGGCAGCGCCTACCAATACCATTTCCTCCTCGTAAGGAACCAAGCACGGCAGGTTGCAAATATCCGCATGGCACTGTATATAGAGCGGGTTCTTGGACAAGCCACCGCAGAAGAGCATCGATTTGAATTGCGGCCGTTTGTAGTCGTAAAGATTCTCAATAATGTGCCGTGAGCCGTACTATATCGAAAATATCAAGTATAAATAAATACGCGATGAAAACAAATCCCCGAAACAGATTCACATTCACTTACAGCGAGAGCCTGAATGAAGGCCAAATAAATGATGGCCAGCGACTCGACACCGCGCGCCATATCCAGACCAGTTACCTAATCGAATAAAGAGTAGTTCTTACAAGAGAAAAAATATGAATTATTAAATAGATATATATTACCATGCCGCGCAACGTTGGGTCCGCTACGGGCGAGCGATTGCCGTGCAGATCCGGCCACACGTGCACATCCTGCGTAAGGTAGGCCATGTCGGGGAGGCCGTGCGACGCGGCTATCTTTGGCAGCAACTGGTTGAGATGCTGGTAAATATATCTGAAATAAACAAAAGTATTATAGAATAATAATAATAATAAGATGATATTCACTGACTTATCTCCGCCTAACTTTTCCTTAAGCGTAGCGTAGCTATCATGCGATTTCAGTATATGATCCAGTAAATGGCCCGCAACCGATTGACCACCCTCGTTCAGATAGTAGCCGGGTAGCACGGCATTTTTGTACGGACCCCAAATGCCCTTCGCAAAGCAAATGGACTTAGTCAGGCTCATGTGGCAGGTGGATGTGCCGGCAATTAAAGCCATTCTAGTGGTTATATTATCGTCAATACCTTCTGCTTGACAGCCAAGCGTGCCCAATATGCCGGCATGGGCATCGATTAGAGACGTACTGACCATTGTGCCCGGTAGCAGGCCCAGGTCTTCGGCGGCCCGCTTGGTTAGGCCCGAGCCCACCGGCTTGCCGGGTGACTCCATGTGGTTGCCAATAATTGAGAAATTTGAGCGTGTCAGCTCCTCGAGATCGATGCTACGTAAGAAGTCGGCATTCCATTTATTCTCCTCGGCATCATAGTTCCATTTGCAGACCACTGAGCAGAGAGAGCGAGTATCGACACCTGTTGCACGCCAGGTGAGATAGTCGGGAAGGTCGAAGGCCCGTCCCATATTGTTAAATGAGTACGGCAGGTAACGTTTAAGCCAAAGCAGCTTGGGCATCTGCATTTCCAAAGACACCTTGCCCCCAACGTATTTAAGTATGGGATGCGCGGTAGCATTTATTTCATCCGCCTCTTCAGCGGCACGATGATCCATCCAAAGAATAACATTTTGTTCATCTACAGAGGTCTTGCTTACAGTTAGCGGGTTGCCTTTGGTATCAATCAAGACCAGGGAGCAAGTGGCATCGAAGCCAATGCCCTTCACTTGTGCTTTAGTGATATTGCTAATGACATGCTGCAAACGAGCTCTAGGTTAATCTAATCTTGAAACGATCTTGAGGTTATCAAATAACTGTACATTACCTTCACGACCTTACAGACTGCACGCCAAATGTCGTCGCTTGATTGCTCATAGAACTCTGTATCGGGTGTCCATGTCTTGATCTTTTCCACCGCCTGGTGCTCCACTTGACCTTTGGTATTGACCAGCGCTGCTCGCGCACTGCCCGTGCCCACATCTACGCCTATAAAGTAATGATGGCTCGGCATAATGCAATATTTGCGTCTGCTGTAACAGCGTACGAATGTTCTTAGAGCCAGCTCGCCTCAAATGCCTCACACAAACTGATAAGAATTTCGAGAGGTGGAATTGTACCGCTATCGGTTCTAATAGATCTGTTTTGGATCTAGGGCCGAGACTAAGGGTAAATCGGATCGGCCTGAAAGCCGCTACTTTACAAAATAAATAAACAGTAACTGATTCTGGAAATCCCCTTCTAATTAACATTCTAATTAATTTTTCAATTATGCAAAGCTGCCGGAAATTTGAGACATAACTAATGAATTTAACAAAAACATTTACATATTAAATCATTCAACATTATGCCTACTTACTAGAACTTCCAGCAGGTACGAGCGTTGCTTGCGTACTAAAAACTCGTTCGTAATTACAGTTTGGATTAGGTATTAAAATATTTAAATTGCAAACATCTCGCGCCTACTCTCTTCTCGCTCTCTCAACCTTTAGCTCTCTCTCACGCTTTTTCGTCTTATAATTGCCAAAGTTACTCTCATTATACAGGCTGTTTGCATTTCACGATCAATGCTATTCCGTCACGATTAATCGGTCGCTCGGCACAACGCAATGTGCTTTTGACAGTCTGGCAACGCGGTTCAGCAACAGCTCGTGTTTGTTTACTATGGTGCGCATTAAAAATCGGTAAGTTAATTGAATAAACGCTCTTATTTATAACTCACATCTAATAAAATATCCGCCACTACTGCTTATCAGTTATATAGCCGTACAAATTGTACCATATGCACCGGTGAACACCCTCCGCCTCAACGACCATACACTCACTAAATGCTTGCTGCAAAATGTTGAGAAATATTACGGAGTTTACGGGTTGGGTATATTGGAGCACGGCTTCCGTGTGAAATACTGCAATGAGCGCACTAAAATTGCCATCATACGCTGTCTGCATCGTGGACAACGCTATGTGTCGAGTATATTGCCGCTGATAACTTTGGTAATGCAATGCCACATAAATTTATGTACATAAATATCTATATAAATATTAATTCCAGATAGGAGATGTGCGCGCTAAGTTCCGCACTCTATACGTGGGTGCCACTATTATACAGTGCAACAAGTTTATCATCAATCATCAGCGACAGTTTTTGGATCGCATGATGGGCCAAGTAGCATCCGCAAAGGAACGTCAGGATCTCTTCAAACGAGTGATGGAGCTTGACATGGACAGATAGATGTGACAGCTTTTAAGTTTAAAATGATTTATATATACATAAGAATAGTACATAGTTATCTTATAAAATATTGTTTCGATTTGACTAAAGTTAAATTTAAGAAAAACTAAAAACATTTTTGGTAAACTCGATTATACTTCAATAAGGAATTTGCGACTTGAGGAACGAGATAATCTCGCAGTGCATTGCTTAAGCTTGTGCTCCAAGTCCGCAAAGGTAAGTTTGTTCTTCTTGCTGTATACATTCAGATAAATGCCCAGGACAACGATCAGCCCAGACCAGATATATCTAAGAGAGGAAAACATCACTTTTAGCAGAGATCAAATTGATGATGAATTTTTACTTACTGCACTGTGAAAGGTTTACTGAAGAGCAGGAACGAGAAGGCAATGGTTACTGCCTTTCGCGCAGTGGTCACCGTCGCAGCAAGCGGAGCTCCACTGCTCCTAACCAAAGCCAAGACGAATTGTATGCCTAGATAACCGGAGAGACTGAACAGAAAGCCGTAGCCAAAGGTTTCTAGCGGATGGGCCAAACAAAAGGCGAAGCCACTAAAGAAGTTCCCGGTGAGCAACATGATCACAAACAGATAGACAAAGCCAAGTCCGTAGGAGTAGAAAACCACCTCGCTGCTAGACGCTTTGTGCTCCCGCATCGCCTTCTCCTGGACATTGCCAATGGCGGCATCACACAACAAGGCGCCGGATATCATGAGGACGCCAAGAGGATTGAAGTTGGGCGTCAGCTGCGAGTCGGCCAGCGTAAACCATGCCAAGCCCACACACATGGCTGTTGCAGCAGCAAAGTCCAGAGGACCATAGCGCTTGCCCTGAATTATGATGCTGCCAATGAGCACAGGGATTAACTTGCAGCACTTGAAGATTACTTGAGTGGGATAGTTCAGATAGCCGAGACTCGAGTTCGATAGGCCCATTGTCCCGAGCGTAAGCGCGGCAAGCACAAAATATGTCTGCAAAGGTATACTACGTGGCGCTGGCTGAATGCTCCAGATTGTGCCGCCATTTGATCGGTAAGCCTCCAAGCGGCGTTCCACCAGGCCGAAGCCAATGTAGTAGCCGAACTGCACCAGGGTGAGAAACCATCCATATGGTTTGAAGCCCTCAACTGTGAATATCAGCTCCTGCAGATATCCATAGATGATGTAGAGAATAAAAACACCGGCACAGCTTAACAAAAATTGAGTGGTTCGATTGTAGTAGGTCAAGTCAAAGCAGAGAATACGCAATTCCGGCGTCACCGCCTTTGATGCGGATGAGAGTTTACGCTGTGACGGCGATTGGGAAACGGATGCAGCCGTCTGCTGTGCTCTGCCATTGCTATTTATATTGATAACGTCGTGTATGTTTCCTGGCTGGCTCTCATCAACCATTGTGTGAGTGCTATTGTGTGGCAGCGACGTTATGTTTGTGTGCGCGACTTTATTACTGTATGTGTTATTTTATTCGTTACCACGTTTGTGTTTGTGTTTGTGGCTTTATCACAGTATTAGTATTATATTATTTATTGCAATGCAAAGCAATGCACAACTATGTTGCATTCATAACGCCTTACGTAGTATTGCATAATTAAATTGCAATATGCATTGCGACTTAACAATGATATCAATTACGAGTTTGTTTATTTTTTACAAGTCGGCAGTCGATAAACACAATACAAAATTTGGACATGGTGCTACCAGACTGATCTAGAGCTGTTTACAAAAGATGGTTAGCCTAAATTTTACAAATGGTCGCACACAAATCAGTGCTACCAGCTCGATGTTCTCAATTGAATATCTGGCAACACTGTATACTCTTAAAAACATCTTTTCGTCATTTAGCAGCTCTCGCATTTTGTTTCATTTTAAAAATGGCAGACGTAGAAAAGGAGCCTGAGAAGACCATTGCTGAAGATTTGGTTGTTACCAAATACAAATTAGCTGGCGAAATTGTAAATAGTAAGTAAATATTGCAACGTAATTAGCAAATGCGTCGCAAAGTGAAAGTGAAATCAGAATTTTCTGCATTTACCCGTCGTCCGCTACGTGTAGCCGACAACAATGGAGCTAACGAAGACTTCGGCGCTGACGCTGACGTCGCCGTTGCTTTAAGTAGCCACGCGGCGGTGTACGCGGGATATGCGAGAGCGTAGCGTGCATAACCTCAAAGTTTTCAGGTGTTGAATTCTTTAGTTAAATGTAAAAAAAAAAAAAAAACGAATTTATAAGAATAAAAAGATACTAAAGCAGCTTTTTAAGCTTCAGTTTCATAAAAAAACTCGGAAGGCCAAATTGAAATTGCAATGCAAATGAGAGATTCACAATGCCATGCGAGACGTGCCGAAACTCGTTTCACATGGAAATAACTCGACTATTTCTGTTTGATGTGTTTAATTTTAGAAACACTGAAGACAGTGATTGAACTCTGTGTAGCGGACGCCTCAGTGAGGGATATATGCACCAAGGGCGACAATCTGCTCACTGAAGAAACCGGCAAAGTAAGTTTACCAGCTAAAACCGAAAACCCATAACTAAATTATAGAAACTAGTCCAATGATTAAAACTTACACAATTGAGGATCTCCTGCGTGCGTGCTGCTGTGGACTGGCTGCATGTGTATGCGCCGCGTGTGTGGAATTTTTTCACCCACGTGCGTTTCGAACGCAGTCTGTGGTCGGCGTGCGCGCTCTGGGGCCCAAAGATTCATAGATTATGAGATCTGAGGACACAGTTGGCAAACAGCCAATTGGCAGTGTTAACATGATAAATCGATTAACACGCTGTCATCTGTAGGTATACAAAAAGGAAAAGGAACTGAAGAAGGGTATCGCATTTCCGACCTGTCTCTCGGTCAACAACTGTGTCTGTCACTTTTCGCCAGCTAAAAACGATGCCGACTACACGCTAAAGGCGGGCGATGTGGTCAAAATGTAAGTATTTCGACTTGCTCTTGTTGGCCAACATTAATTAGTTTACCTTTTGTATTTATGGGTTATTTACAGCGATTTGGGTGCCCACATTGATGGCTTCATTGCTGTTGCGGCACACACAATTGTCGTAGGCGCGGATGAGAAAATAAGCGGACGTCAAGCTGATGTCATTTTGGCTGCGTATTGGGCCGCCCAAGCGGCGCTGCGTCTGCTCAAGGCCGGTTCCAGCGTAAGTGTTTGTCTATCCAAGCTGCTTTGCCTGCAAGAAACGGATTGTCTAACGTATTAAACACAGCGCTAGCACATCTCAACACTTGCACAGATCATTAGCTACAATTGACGAATGCGCTGCCATCAGATCGATGGCTGGGCTAGTGTTGATTGCTCACATTCCCACATATATATAGTAATCCTTCTGCTGCAGGCAACGGATTGGCTGCTGCCCAACAAATATAAATGGCACAGTACAGCTCAACGTCTGCAGAGATCAATTGCGGCAATTTCGTGAACTGAACGAGTTTATACCCAGAAATGTTCGGTCTTTACAATTGCACACAATTTGTTAAAATAATTATATTTAAATATTAAAATGTTCCGAAAATATTATATTTAGTGTAGCTATTAGCTGTAAACCTAAAATTGTATCCATGTCTTGTACGTATTTATAGAATTACTCAATCACCGATGCCGTGCAACAAATCAGCGAGTCGTACAAGTGCAAGCCCATTGAGGGCATGCTCAGTCACGAGCTGAAGCAATTCAAAATCGATGGTGAGAAGACGATTATACAGAACCCGAGCGAGGCTCAACGCAAGGAGCACGAGAAGTGCACGTTTGAGAAGCACGAGGTTTATGCCATCGATGTCATCGTCAGCACCGGCGAAGGCGTGGTAAGCATTGTGTTTCCATGAGAGCAACTCCCTTTCTCTTCTTGTTCAATGATTAAAAACACGCGCTTGAGGATTGGCTGGGCAAGGCAATGGGGCTGACCATGTAAGCACCTTGTGTGCTTAGCGTGTTGTGTTTTAACAGCTCGGCACATGTCAGACTCAAAGCTCCGCTATTGCTGGTCCGGAGATTGTAAGATTATGAGATCTGAGAACGCATTGAAATATATTTCAATTGGTTGTTTAAATGCATACGCAGCTTTGCTAACAGTTGGTTCTATGTTGCAGGGACGCGAGAAGGACACAAAGGTCTCCATTTACAAGAAGTCCGATGAGAACTACATGCTTAAGCTGAAGGCATCGCGTGCGCTTCTCGCCGAGGTGAAAACCAAGTATGGCAACATGCCCTTCAACATCCGCAGCTTCGAGGAAGAGACCAAGGCGCGCATGGGAGTCGTTGAATGCGTCTCACACAAGATGATTGAGCCTTTCCAAGTGCTGTATGAGAAGCCTTGTAAGTTTGCTCTTATGAATTTGTTTGTTAATCCTGCAAAACTTAATTCCGGTTTGGTGTAACTCTTGAGCTGCCAACCTCGGCCAGACATTTTGCTAGAATAAAGCTCCAAAGGCTTTGGCGTCTTCAGCAGTTGCCTCTTTTCATGGCCTCGGTCTGAACATGTCATTGCTACAGAAGTTCCTTTATATTTCCAGCTATTAATATCTCTGAGTAAAGTAATCTAAAACTAGTATCCTTATATCTTGTAGCTGAAATTGTGGCACAGTTCAAACACACGGTATTGCTCATGCCCAACGGCGTCAACCTGGTTACCGGCATACCCTTCAACGTCGACAGCTACGTTAGCGAATACAGCATCGCGCAACCCGAGCTGAAGGTAAGCAAAACTCTACTGATTAGGCGCGATCTCAATTCTAACCTTTGGATATTTTTGATATCTTTTCAGGAACTGGTCGCACAGCCACTGGGACCCGTGAAGGGCAAGGGCAAAGGCAAGAAGGCGGCCGCTGGTGGTGCGGCGACAAAAGTGGAATCGGCGCCGGCCGTTGAGACCAAGGCATAAGCTGCTCTCGTCTGCATACCATACAAAACACGCCCCCTTAAAGCAACTAAAATGTGAACAATTGCGCTGCCTACTGCTGCCGCTCTTTAAAATTATACTATAGAATTCGTTGATTAGTAAAGCAGAGAAACCATTTGACAACAACATAATTCGTTTTCGTTCCAAGAACTTTAAATATTTCCACTATAAGAACAAAAGAACAAGAAAAACAAGCACTTGAAAGCCTATTGCGTTTTTCAAACCCGAAATAATATAATATAAATATTTCCCTCCCTTCAAAAAGCGTACTGATTTTATCGTTTTGAAATTTCATAATCGGTTTGTTTCAAATCGCAACGAAGAATTGTAATTGTAATTTTTAAAGTAAACGATATCTTTAGAAACGAACTTATAATTCAAGAAAAGAAAACAAAAACGTTAAGAACCCCGCGCGTAGTAGGTATTAAATAAAATTAACATTTTATAAAAGAAAAAAGCCGATAAATAAACCTGAGTTTTCTTGGACTGTGGTTGGATGTATCATTAGACTGTTTCATATATCACTTAATATGTTTAAGTAAAGAGACGTTAATAAAATGAACCATGATGATTATTTCCAATACAAATAATTTTTCTTTTATTTTTTTGTTTTGCGTATTAAGTTATTTTCACAATCTTATATTTTTGTTTTTTTAATTTCTTGCATGTAAATAAAATTGTACACAGTCTCATCTCTGAACTCTTGTATTACAAAAGTAGCAAGAATATTTGTTGTTAGCGTTACTAGGACACCATTTCACCAACAGCCAGCCCCCAGCGAGCGCTCCATACCGACACGCGAAACGAAATTGTGCCAACAAAATTGAACAACAAAACAAATTACATATTACAATTGCTACGAATGAACGTATGATGTGAGCAGTGAATAGTGAATGACCTACGAGAACTATGAGAACGGAGAGTGCGCGTCGCGGGATATACGAAATAAAATATGCAATCAAAGTGGAGAGAGGCGCTGTTGATGGACTCGTAGATTTCAATCGATTGCGTTTGTGTTTAACTGAAATACATGTTGCATGTATTTGCTGATCCGATCATATAACAAACAAGTCTACTACAGTCAGCGAGGGAGCGGGGTAAAACGACAACGATGATGATAGTGCCAGTGAGGCAATTAGTTTTCGGCATGTGCGTCTACCGGCGCTGAGGCGGTCACATTGCTAGGCTTCTCCGGTGAATCTAAATAAATCTTCAGCGCTCGTTCGCGTCGATGAGAATAGCGGGGCGTTGAAATGCAACCGAGTCGATCCAAGCGCGCCTTCTCCTTATTGGTTAACGAACGGCGCTCATCTGCCGACAACTCTCGCACCGGCGCATTCTTATCTCTGCAAGCAATAACCGTAAATTGAGTGATGCATTACAGAGCCACCTGAAACTCTCCCACTCACTTATACAAATACATGTTGCCGCTTTGCGTCGTGTTGAGCGGATACATGTCCAGGCCGACGGCCACAGACATCCAGTTCACGGCCTCATTCACGCTAACTGCCGATATGCTTGTGCAGGGAAAATAGCTGTTAAGCTGGAAGGAAGAATTGAATATGATTTAATAGTTAATCATATAGATTTATAAATGTATATGTGTTACCTTTGTATAACTCAATCGGTCAATATCAATGTCGCATATTTTTGATAAACAACTTCTAATTTCGCTGTCCTCTGCAAGTGGTAAAGATTTAATAAAATGCTGATTTCATTCATTCATTATATCTGGCTTACTGTCGATTGTGATTTCCTGAAATTTGCCAAACTCCCATTTCTCTGGGTACCAGCGACGCACGAATATAGTTAACGCATCCTCCTTTGGCTGTGCCACCACACCGTCCTCACACTCTTGCACAATGAACTGACAAAACAGAATGGACACGAATTAGATATACTCCTATATATATTATCATTGTGCTCACCTCTAGGGAACCAGTGCGCATATCACTGTACAGTGTTTCATCGTCCGCGAGTATTTTGATGGGACAGCGGCCGCCTTTCAGCCAGATGCGGCAATTGTCCATGGTGAGGGAGGTATATTTGGCATCGATGCGATGCAGCTTGGCCACCAGCTCCTGCTTGGCCTGCTCCACAGTGGTTGTGGTATTGTACACCCACTCACAGACGCACGGCAGCTTGGCGGTCTCGTTGTCCAGGTCAGACAGACGCAAGAAATATATCTTGGCCTTGTACTCGAACGGTTGCAGTGTCTTGCCGATCTCAACAGTCAGCGTCTCGCCCTCATTGAGGAAGACTAGCGAGTTGGTTTGATCATTGGACAAGGTGTTATCATGCTTGCGTTGTAGCTTAAAGTATTTGCTGGGCACGTGTATCAATTGCTCAATGTGTCGCTCGAAGGCACTCATGCGCATATGCGTGCTCACGAGAAGTTTATAAGCGTGCGTCGGCTTACGCAGTTGCGCCTCGTCATCGGACTGATGGCCGCTGGTGCTGCTGCTGGCGGCCGTGTCCACGCAGTCGACCTTGATGGCATGGAAAAAGTGATTGGTTGTGCTAGCTGGGATGGAGCTGGAGTCGCCCGCATCGCTGCCATAGCTGCCGTTGCCATTGCAATAGGCGTGCACGCGCATCATGGTGTCGTGGGAGGCGGCCTCGTCCTCGGGACTGGACAGCTGTGGTGAATGGCTTGTGGAACTGACTTGGCTATCGCCGCCGCCGCGATGCTGCAAGCTATTCTCGACCAGTGTGCGATCACCGTCACTCAGGCTGCTGTCCTCCGAGTTGGACTCGTGGCCGGGCGTCGCCAGCGCCAGCGAATCAGGCTGATCGCGCTTATAGCGACGCCAATCACAGTCGTTGTTGCCGGCGCTGGCACCTTCGGGCGTCGCCGTGCCGTTTGTGCCGCTGATGCCATTCATCATGGAGGCATCCACTACATCGGTGCCTGCGCTGCCATTATTGGAGGCCTGCAATGGGGAGAGGAGTTACTTGGACTTGATAAACTTCTTCAATACTTGCATTTTACACTAAAAAATATTTAATATGGGCCGCAATCGTTGTTGTCAATTGGGCTGGACAATGGGTCAATGGACAAGTTACCTACCTCGATGGGCGTTGCAATGGGCTCGCTGCTGGGCACGCCCAGCATCTCGAGGCTGCTGGCATCGGTGTTAGGCACATTTAAGTAAAAGTATGTGATGTACTTGAATTGTGAGTTGGCCAGCTGCTCCAGCTGTTGTTGTGCTTCCAGAGTCGGGTTGGGATCGTACGCCACGAACGCCTTGCAGCGCACGGTGGCCACCACGATCTTCTGCTCGTCAATGTGCAAACGAATTGCAATTGAGCGACGCAGCACGTCGTTGCACTCCAGCGCTGCTGAATAAACCAGGAAGGGACCGTCCATCGCCATGTTCGAGAGATCTACCTTAAAAACATACCACGTAGTGCCATCGCTGGGATAGTTCTCAAACTGCTGATCCTCGGCCCTATACTCCAGCAAAAAGTCCAAATTGTAGTTGTGGGAACGCAGTTCGGTTAGTGCCGGATCGGTGCAGTTCTCAAGTGACTGTATGATCGTGTCCATGGACGAGTCGTATGCAACCAAGCGACAGCGTGAGATCGGAGCGAACTGCTCCACATTGAGCATGTCGTGGGCCGACGAGAGAACCTTATTCACATCGAAATTCTGCGACAGATACACACGGGTCATCTTCATCTTCTTCAGCGTCGGATTGTAGAAGTAGACGCGAGGCTTGTACAGATTTGGCAGAGCCAGATCTGTTACCGTGATGTGTCTGCCAAGGCGAGAGGCGCGCGTATCCTCCTCGGCATGTAGTTTAGGCAGAAGTGACTTGATGTGTTCGGGAAAGTCATTGCACTTGGCCGCATGCTCATTCCGCTTGCTATCAACCTGGCGATACATTAGCATATAAGCATTCGTACTGGACGTATAAGCGCTGGAGTAATAGCTGCCATTGGGGCCGCCAAAGGAGCGCTGAATGTCCTGTTGTGTGATCTGCGAAAGTAAGAGAAGACATGCAACATCTGACAGCATCTGGTGGCTCTTAGCTACTCACCGTGGATACATTCTGATCGTTGAAACAGAACCACTCGTCAGTGTCAAAGTCTTTGATATATGCATAGTAATGGCCGCCTGAAGCACTGCCCGAGTGTATCATGATGGCAAACAGATCGTAGAGATATGGACCCGAGAGCAGCTCCTGTTTCAGTCGTGCCTCAGTGTTGGCGCTCTTGCCAGTGCTGCTGCTCATGTCGATGCCCTCGTCCTCGTCATTTATGTCGTTCTCGTGCTGACTGGAACTGGCCGTGGTCACTACGCCGCTGCTCAAGTTGTCCTCGTCCATGGCGGAGCCGCTGTCCGCAGTGCTGCAATCGTCCACATTGCTGGCGCCATTCATCTGATACTGTTCGCCCTGTCCATTGCGATTCACAAAGCTGTTCAAATTCAGCTTCTGCGGAAACGTAACCCTGTGGAAATAAAAATGTACTTTAAAGAGAGGATTGTGGCTGAAGTTGACTGTATGATTTACCTATCGTTCAGTTTGATGCGATGCATTGTCTGATAGTCAAAATCGAAGCGCTTCAGATGCAGCGTCAGTATGTAGGGGAAGGACTTGAAGTGCAGTCCCTTGTGGGCGTCGCATTTCTTTTTGCACTTCTCGCACAGATACTGATTGTTGCCATCGAGAGTTTCGGGCTGCACAAATGCGCGCAGCGCCTCCTCGATGCTGCCGTAGGCGGAACTGCTGCCAAACGGACGCACTGGCAGTGGTATATCAAGGAAGGTATCTTCGCGCGTCTTTTCCGTATTGCACTCCAAGCACTTGACATAATCGTTCATTTTGCCCTCGTACAGATTAGAGATGAGATTTGCCTGCTTGGTGTTCTTAAACTTATGCTCCAGTGCATCGAACATGACACGACACAGCTCCTGGATGTCGTGCTGCTGCCAGGCCTCCGTCGAGTCCCAGCCAAAGCTGCGCGTCAAGTCTGTCGTCTCCACCGATGATTTCGACGATGTCTGCAGATTGAGGAACAGCTTTTGCAGCTGGTAGGGTATATTCTTGGCCTCGTTGTCATTGTCAAACTCCCAGCGATACAGGGCATTGCGAAACTCCGGTGTCATATAGAGCGCCTGGAGCAGGCTGTTTAGGTAGCAAGTCATTGCCTGATTGACCAATCCAACATATGCACGAGGCCCGCTACCTTTGCGACGCGTCTCTGTTTCTGTATTGGCCGAGGCCACAAAGTCGGAGGCGGTGGTATTGATGCGCTGCCAGGCGGGCGCCTCGTCGCCCCCAAACTTGCGCGATGCCAGTGAGCTATAATAGGACGCATCTCGTTCAAAGGCGGGCTCTAGTGGATCGGTGTCGGCATCAGTGCTGCCTAACAGATCGGCCTCTATTGTGTTGCCGAAATCGAAGCCTGGACCCATGATCGTGGGACTGGCCGAGGCGCCCAATGCTAAATCATCGTCTGACAGTTGCTCAGCATCCGAGACGGGACTTATATTAAAGAGCTCGGGAGCTACATCATCGATGATAGTGTTTTGTGTCAACTGCTCCTTCAGCGGGTCGGCTATTTCCACTTTGGTTGGCGCATCCTTAGCTATGTCGGCAGCTGAGTTGACCGTTGCACTTTGTAGCTTCACACCTTCGTCCACCTGATCTGTGCTCTTCTCAGCAATGCCATTCTTTTCGTTGCTTTTGGTCTTCACTTTTGTACTGATCTTGCTAGGCGTTGCGGGTGTGGCCGCAGTCGCAGCGGCAACTGTGGCTTCTGTTGATAACTCAACTGCTGATTCAGATGTGGGACTGACGCTTGTCTTGGTTTTGCTTGGCGACTTTTTCTTCTTCTCTCCGGTTGTTGTTGTCGTGCGCTTCTTCTTCTCGCCGGTTTTAACCGTCGTTGTCGTTGTTGATGTTGATGTTGCTATTGCTGTTGCTGTTGCTGTTGTTGTTGCCGTGTTTGTCGTTGTTGTGTTCTCTGTAATCTCTGGCTGCTTGCTAACTGTTGAAGCAGATTTCTTAATGGTCAAATCATAACGTTTGGCCACATTCCCATCCCAGGTGCCCTCTGGCAGCAGCACCAGGTTGTTCTTCAGCTTCGGCTCAAAGCCAGGCACATCGTACAACAGCTGCGTATCCAGAGTATTCAGATAAACCTATAGATGTATGAGGAGTTCATAAGTAAGACTCTGATGATCGCTGTATGGGCATTCAGTACTCACCAGATCCTTCTCGCCGTGCGGCTGTAGCAACAGCTCAAATTTTCCATACGCAAACTGTGTGCCAATCAGCGTGATGACGTGCTTCACAGTGAAATGGGAACGTACAACGACGTTGATTTTCTTCTGCTGGGAGCCAGGCGTCTGGTCAAAGACGGCGCACTGTGTGCTATCCTTGTTGTCCTTTTCAGCCATGTCCTGGTCCTGCCTGGTCGCGCTATGCTAACCAAATGCGTTAAAGGCCTGCAACGATTGCGTTACAAACAAAAATTTAGATCGCCTGAAAATATTTGTATAAAATATAAAAAAATAACTCAAAAATGGAATGGAATAGCAAAAACTACTGTCATTTGAATTTTAGAAGCTTTCTGACAGCGTCAGCATAATCGACAGCAGCAGCAGCTGCTTGCGGGCTACAGCAACAAGGAAGTCGCCAGCCCCCCGCTCCACATGTGCTGTTCATTGCTCCCATCCGTGGGAAGGGGCTAGCCACACACACCCACCGCCTCGAGTCCCTCAACACCCACCGTGCATAGACCTCAATTCGAAAATAAACCAAAATCCCATTGCCTGCTGCTGTTTGCGTTTTTTCGCGCCTTATTTGTACGCCACACACACACCATGAGAAAAGATCGAGAACATGACTAAGATTGCACGGAATTTTATAAACAACAAATTCTGGGGCCGGACTGTGTTGGCGACGGTACATGGATATGTTCCATATATTTCAGCTGCTACCGAATTTTCAGCAAGAGCGTCATAATTGCCGCATAAATTGCTCCTACGAATGTCATTCCAAGACGATGCTGCCGTTGCCGTTGCTTTCTTTGTTGAACCATTGGGCAACGGGCGTCGCATTGTAACGAACGGAAGTGCTACAATATACGTACGTACATACATATGTGCATATATATATATTTATAGTGGGCCATATATGTGTGCATGCACGTAGTATATGACATTTGGCCGCAATGCGCAAAATATACAAGAACTGCTCTAAGATATATTATAAAATATTATGTGTTTATATTTTGGAAAAGTTCTGAGGCGTAGTGGTCACGGTGCATAAAGAAAACTTGCAGTTATATGTATATAGATATACGATATGCAGTCTATATAATGTGCTCTATTATCTGTTGTTCGTCAGGAACTCAATTGTCAAAACCCAACACACAGCTGTTGACATCAATCTGTATCTATTTCCGATAACGCGTTGGCTAAACAAAACAGTTTCACACATTCTCAAGAAACACAGTCCGCATATAAAGGGAACGCCTGTCGGAAATTTACCTATAGACATATAATATAATATATCTATCGCACTATGTATACCGGAAAGCAAATGTCTGTGCGCAAATGGCTTGCGCGATCTAATTAAATGTCCAAAACAGCAATTAGTATTAGCGAAATGCGCAATGTTTTTCCAACTCTAAAATTTGATATAAATAGGCGCAAACATTCGCCGAGACTGTGGCAAGTGCTTGGGCCAAGAGATTAATGCAAATGAGCTGCAATTTCAAACACATGTTGGATGAACGCAAGCAAGCATTTATATGATATATAGATACAGATATAGATACATATCTGGGTGTGTGTGTGCAGTTGCTGGTACGCTAGAGTGGAATCCAAAAATTTAAATACGCTACCAGCAGAAATCAAAATAAAGAATACAAAAATTGTGCGTCTAAAAATATAAGAAAAGAGACAACGACGACAACGACGACAACGACGACAACGACGAAAGCACTGAAGCTGAAGAAAATAAAAAAATAATATATGTATATACATATATACAAAAAAAAGCAACAAATATTCAAAGCAGGGAGCAAAAGTATCTGTCAGATACAATCTTGCTATTTGTAAATTCGAAGGTTTTCGTTACCGAAACATTGCACAAACCATAACCTATATACATAGATATATATCTATACATATATTTGTATATTTGTATATTTCTAAGTTCGTCAATCGAATCTTTTAAACGCACGAGAGTTCTCATCAATATTTACGTTTGACGGCAATGCCTCTGCCTGTGTTGGGTTTGGGCGTGACTTGGTCGAAATTCCTATACAAGCGAATCCAATTCTTGGTGATTTTTATGTTATTCGCCAGACTAGAGAAGAGGGTGTTAAGTGTGGGTATTTGCAAATTTTGCATATAGTTCGGGCTATTTTTAAAACTTTTTCAGATTTTGTGGTCGAGACATATGCCAAATAGTTCCGATTACTCAGTTATTTAGTACACTCATACACACACACACACACACGCACGCACCCAGTCAGAGTGAGAGATATCCAGTTCGAGTTATATGTAGCCTTTATGCAGCAGTTCTTTGTACTCCCTATAGTTATTACGAAAGAGTTTCTATTTAAAATGTTTTCTATTTTTGGACTAATTGCTAGGGGATTTGCACGTTATACTCATTGGATGTAACTCCATTTGGAGCGATCAAGCACAGGCACTAACGCATAGGATTAAGTACATATATTTATAAATATATGTATATTTAGATATACACACAGACACACACGCACGCACACACACCGTCTAATTGCTGGCGAGTTCTTCTGTGCGCTATGAAATCCCGCCGTCAACGCAACGACATCGTCTCACGCGTATTCGAGTACTGACCACTGCTGCGATGGCACGAACTGGCGCTGGCGCCCCAGAGTGCACGATGATTGGTTCGATCGTTGCCGAGCAGCCGGATTGCCGGGTGGCCAGGCAGCCGGATAGCTGGGTGCGCTACGAATCGCTCACTGACTGCATCTGCTCATAGCGGGCGCTGATAACAATAACAAATGCACACACACATACACCTACACACATTTAGCGCTATTAGCAACAACTGTTGATAATAATAAAATTCGCAAATTGTAGAGCCCGACGAATGAGCGTGGGCAGTATATTAGGGCTCAGGGCTCTCAGTGACGTCGTGTAGTCCACCCGGCGGTTGTATAGGCCCCAATCTAGGCAAATTTATTCAATGAAATAGCCAAGTACGTATACTAGATGGATGTTCTGTATGCCAGATACCGAGAGAGAGGGAGAGAGTTAGAGAGACTACAATTTATGGCGAAAGTGCTATTAATGTTTGTGCAAAATGCTCTCGCCAATTGTCCGATGAATGACTATTTTTATGCGCTGCTCGGCTGTGCCTCGCCAGCGTCTCATGTGTGACTAAGAAGCGCTGACCGTGTACCGGCATCTGTAATGCTCTTGGACAGGCGACAGGGCCGGGGGCAGTTGCGATGGGCGTACTTAGCATGTTGGCGATTTTTTTGTTTGCGCAACACTTATTGCTAGAGTATGTGGAGCGCTGGGGGGTGGTCCTCGGTGGACGGGCGATCGGTCAAGGTTTTGCTTTGGAACGTGACACATTTGACTGTTTGGGTGCGAGAAACTAGTTCAAGCTGTGCGTCCTTCAACGTCTTGGCCAAATGTCGGAAAACTTGCGGCTCCAAAATATGCTTGCTCACACATAAACACAGAGACACGCACACACATACCCAAATACACAAATCACATATGTGAATAGGCATACAGATACACATACATATGTATGATTTCACTTACCTGAACTGTGAAAATGTTGCAATATTGTGTTTTGGTTAAATGCACAATCCGGCCCTACGGCTGGGAGTACACTGTTCGTCTAATTTGATACTATCTAAACTGCTTAAACGGAGGATGGTTGATGTTGACACCGAGAAGCAACCATTTTTATAATTGAAACAAATGTTTTTTGTTGTTCGGCTGCGGTTTGGCTGCAGTTCTATCGATGATAATACCGATAATCACACATACTGTCGAATATATATTCGATAGCTCAAACGTCAGTTGACGAAGAGTATCGATGCTAAGGCTGCAATTCGACCATTCAAGTATCGATAAGTGTATTAATAAATTTGGTAACTTTATTAATCCCATCACGTGTAATCGATGCTTAGCTAAAAATAATGTATTAACTAAAATATCTTGACTAATAATATGCACAACTTATTCAAAAAATTATATTTTTGGCGCCAATTGTTATCGAGATGCCAGTTTCCGGATGCAACCCTACTTTGCTAGAAGCATCGAGAATTTTCGACGAGCAGGCTACTCTGAGTCTATATAAAGGCAGGGCACGCCGTCATTTCGACTCATTTAGCGAAAATCAGAGAAACGTATAACTAGTGTGTAGTTCACACAAAAAGTAAAAAAGCAAAACAGTATATAAAAGACAATATTAAGAACATATTTTTAAAAATATAGTGAATTTTACAACTGTGATTAATAGAAATTCGCGTAGCAGTTAAATTTGTAAGTTTATTGACCAGTAAAAGTAAACTAAGAAGGAGAATTTTAACAAGCAGCTGCCAAGCTCATAAAGGTAAATGTCTAACAAATGAATTGTAGCTTAAAATAGATTGTTTTCGACCTGCATTTTGTACGATCAAACGAAAATTACAATAGAAATGAAAAGCAAAACATTGCATTTGAATAAAATTTGAAATTTAAAACCTAAATACGACATCGTCGTCGTCACGCGTTGAGCGACAACACAGCAGCAGAGGCAGAGACTGAGGCAGAGGCAGAGGCAGAGCTGCTTTCGTTGTCGTTGCACAACTCAAAGCTTCTAGCAAATTCCATTGAGCGACGCGTCGAGAATACAATCGACACATTCTTTGCCTTTGCTGTTGTTTTTGCTTTACATTCAAATAAATCTGTGTATATACGTACATGTAGACGTGTGTCATATATCACATCATAATAATTGTGTGCTTTCTTTTATTTGTTTGCAGTTAAGTGCGCGGCGCTACAGTAAAGCAAAATGGGAAAAGATTTCTACAAGATATTGGGCATTGACAAGAAGGCCACAGACGATGACATTAAGAAAGCGTACCGTAAATTGGCACTCAAATACCATCCGGACAAGAACAAGAGCCCACAGGCCGAAGAACGCTTCAAGGAAATAGCCGAGGCGTATGAAGTGCTCTCAGATAAGAAGAAGCGCGACATTTTCGATCAGTATGGCGAGGATGGCCTCAAGGGCGGTCCACCCGGCCAAGAGGGAGGCGGTCCATCGGGCGCTTACACTTATCAGTTCCATGGCGATCCTCGTGCCACATTTGCCCAGTTCTTTGGCTCACAGAACATCTTCGGTACGGCTGATCCGTTCGGCCCATTCTTTGGTGGCGGCTCCGGCGATGGTACCGAGCAAGTCTTCATGAACATTGGCGGCGATGAGATGTTCGGCGGTGGCGGCTTTGGTGGCGGCAACCCCATGGGCGCCTTCCGCTCACAATCTTTCAACGCACAGGCGCCTAGCCGGAAACGACAGCAACAGGACCCGCCCATCGAACATGATTTGTATGTGACGCTGGAGGAGGTTGACAAAGGCTGCACAAAGAAAATGAAGATCTCGCGCATGTCGATGGCAACGGGCACGGCGCGCAAAGAGGAAAAGGTGCTGAGCATCAATGTAAAGCCTGGCTGGAAGGCGGGCACCAAGATCACATTCCCTAGAGAAGGCGACCAGGCACCACAGAAAGTGCCCGCGGACATCATCTTCATCATACGCGACAAGCCGCATTCGCAATTCAAGCGCGAGGGCAGCGATCTGCGCTACGTCGCGCCAGTCACTCTGAAGCAGGCGCTGTGCGGCACCACGGTGTCGGTGCCGACACTGCAGGGCGACAGCGTACGTATACCAATCAACACGCAGGGCGAGGTGATCAAGCCCACGACAGTGAAACGGATTAGTGGGCGTGGCTTACCTTACCCCAAGGAACCATCGAGGCGCGGTGATCTGATCGTCTCATTCGACATCAAGTTCCCCGACACAGTGTCGCCCAGTTTAAGGAATAAACTGGCGGAGCTGTTGCCCAACTAAGATCGAGGCCATGTTAAGGCTTAAGAACCACCTTCGGCGAAATTTTGTATAGTATATTATATAATTTAAGCTCGTAATTTTAGTTAAGAATCTTTATCCTTATTAATAATGGGAACACAAAATTCATTCGTCGGCTTAGGCTTGATATGATGTTTAAGTGTATAACGAACGCATAGCATGCCAAAACTCTATGGTTAAGAACTTCCCTGTTTATAATATATAATCTACCTTCCCCACTTAGTAATGCGACTGAGATCGCGGGATAAAATAAGATATGAGAATACAAAACACTTACACACCATAAGATAGCTGAAAGTGTTTTGAGCTGGAGACTGATCGGTTACCTAATTATGTAAATTTGAAAATAGAAAAGAAATCACCAAAATAAATTAAATTATACCAAATTTGAAACCGTTTTCCCAAATGTAATTCGTATCTGCAACAATCCAAACATTTTTTCCAAAAATAACTAAATAGAACAAAAACACACCTCCGCTCTTAAACACCTGGGCTATTAAACATTAAAACAAAAACATGATTAAACTAGTACGTTTTAGTACGATAATTAATTGTAAAATATGAACGAAAAAAGTATTTAATAAAATAATTTCAAGAATGTTAAGGCTTGTAATTATACTTGGGAGAGAGTCAGCTACCAAAAAGACTACAGCTTGATGGAAATTTCTTTTCAGCAATTTACATTCTATCGGCGTTTTCTACGTTCTGGAAACTTCGCTCATTTATTGTCTGCTTCATGAGCAGCGTCGAGACGTTTCGCTCTGGCTGCATCTAGAAATTTCTCTTACGTCCAATGTGATTTTCGTTTTGTGGGAACTGCTTATGTATGTATGTATATTAGGATCTAGAAATCTCTGCGAATTGGCGTTGGTCTAATTGGATCTGCAGTATTTTATATTAAATTGGATTAATCGAACTGGTATTTTATGCTCGAATAGCTTTATGAAAAATTGAAGAAAACATGCAAAGAGTAGCAAATATACATATTTAACATATTACATTTTTATTTTATTTATTTTTATTGTTTTGTTCATAATAATATTAAAATAAAAATAAATCATAATAATTAGACACAATACGTACACACAGCTATGAATTCAGTTGCTGACTTATTTATTTGTTTTTTTTTTTTTTTTATTGATTTGGTACAAGATTCGCCAACTCAGCTGAATAAAGTAACTAGCGCGCCAAAACCACCGGCAAGAGTGACAAGTAGGCTAGTATTATCTCTCCATCCAAGTATTTCCTCTTAGTTGTTCTTAGTATTTCCTCTATTTCCCGTTTCGTCGCCATCCCTCTTACGTTTTCGCATTACGTCTTACGTATTTCTTAAGTTTGTATAATAATTTCTTTTAAATAATTCCTTCAAGTCTTCCAACCATTTAATGCTCAGCTGCTCGATCACACACTTCCCTCCACTTTAATGCACTGCACGATTGACCCCCACTAGGCCTGGGCGACTGAAGAAATGCCTCAGCTGTAGTCGCTTATATAGGGCGACTGTCACTCCGACCCGAAGTCGCTCTCAAATGTTGAGCCCGACGCCAGGTAGAAATCGTACCTCAAGTAACCACTGAGAGCACTCTCTGCTGCTCTAGCTTCGTTTTACTCATATATAAGTACCAAACGACTACTGTGCATACATATACACAATTTAAATTATCTTCTGAACCTCTTAGGTTCTTGCTTTGCAGCAGAGAGACAGCCTGACAGGAAGAGACATCTGGACTGATATCAGATGACATATAGTCAAATAAATATACATACATACTATGAATGAATATGTATACACATGCTATACTTATTTACATTAATATTTACATATATTTCATAATGCCATAGAGAACAGTTTTTCTGCTCTACATTTCTCTTAAGGAGTGACTGATAGGCTATGTATATCGCTTTCAAAAAGGCTAGATCTAGCTGGAAATAGGCTAAACTAAAAACGAGTATAATTTAAAATTTATTTTGTAAATCTGCAAACCCATCATTAATAAATAAAAGCACAGTTTTGATTTTATTTTTTTTTACTTTCACATTTCATTTTGTTTTTGTTTTTTTTTTCTTTTTTGCATTTCAAAAGGATCTTTTTAATTTATTCATTTTCACATATTTTCACTTTCCTTACTTTGAGTGTTTTGTTAATTTGCATGTTGCAATTGTATAATAATTTTTGTTTTTGTCATTGTGTATTACTTGTTGTATATTTCATTTCATTTTGGTTTTGTTCTTTTCAAAAATTATTAACATCGATTGCATGTGGTTGTTGTTGTTGTTGCAGTTGTTAATTATATATCATAATAAAAATTGAATTCTTTAATGCTTGTTTCATTTTGTTAGTTTTATAACTAGAAATGGTTTTTGCTGTTTAACTTGTTGTTGTTGTTGTTTCTATTGTGTGTGTGTGTGTGTGTGTGTGTGTGTGTGTGTGTGTGTGTGTTCAATTAACTTGCATTTGCAGGTGTATGTATTTGTGTCTGTTTCTGTCTCTATCTTTCTCTTAGTGTAATACATTTACTTTTATTGAACTTTTCTTTTGCTGTTGCCATCTTTCGCTATCCAATGCTGCTTCTGCTCTATCCAAAGTAAATGTGTGAATAATATCAATCAAAATGAGACGAATAACAATTGTATAAACCAACTAAAAGACACATACATATACTATTAACAATTGTTTAAGGCAGAGAGAAGCGGCCTGAACTAAACTAAAGAAGTACCAAGCGTACAACTATACATATATTAATTCATATACATATACATACGTGTGTATGTATATATGTATATATATTTAAAATGCATTAAAAATAGTCAAATGTGTACAAAAATGTTTATACTATTTCGAATGATTCCCATATATATATATACTTAAATGTCTGCTGCTTCTT